TGCCCCGTCTCTTGGCTCGAGTTCCCCCCTCCGTGATATTTAATGTGATAATTGAAAATGAAATGTTGGGTGTGTAATTACCGGTTTTTTTTGTTGGGCGGCGGCTAAATGTGTGCGGCGGCAGCTTGGAGCTGCTGCCGCTTGTAAATCAAATCGTGTCCGGTGGCGGCTTGGAGCTGCTGCCGGGCGACTTCTGGCTAGTTATTGTTTTTCTTTGATTTTTTTTAATATTGCTCTAATAAAAAGTTGCTTGGTGTCACACTCCCCTCGCCAGGCAGGCCCCCTCCCATCTCCAGCGCCCCCCCCCTCCGTTACATGGGGGCTGAGCCTGCACTTGCTGGCTTCTGAAGATTTGTGCTTGTTAGTGGGGCACTGGATTTAACGCATTTCAGCAGCTGGATTTCAGACCGTGCACTGAATGTTCGTTTACAGTTCCGTGGTCCATTTCAATTAGAATTATTAAATTACATGGTTTTTTCAGCGACAGTTTGGCGCAGTTGAACACGAATGAAGTCTCTGAAACGCCCCAGTGCTAATGATACCGAAGAAGATTTACTGCAACAGCAGCATCTGGTATTTTCATGCTTTTTTGTACTGTTTTTTCTGGTATTCTCGTGCTTTTTTGTCTGGCGCCCCGAGTCTCGTCAATATTTCACGCACACACACACACACACACACACACACACACGATACTTCGTCAATATTTCACGCCTAAATCCTATCGGTTCAACAATTTTTCAAAATTATCACTGTGTTAACGTTCCGTATTTTAAAACTTATAAGTTTTACAGTGTTACAAATTCTTGATCAATTTATCAGTATTTCACATGAAAACTTATTGCACAACTGAAGCGTAGCATGTGTTCGGAGCTAGTGATCTTGCTCTTCCCTTTCGAGAACGTTCCAGCGTACAACCGGGATCTGGAGCGTAGATCGACTGGAGAAGTTTAGGACAGTGTGTTGACGATCGACAGGACTGTGCGGCCAATACAAGGAGGATCGACATCTCCCCCAGCAGCAGCTTCGAGAGCGGTTCGAAGAACGTGGTGGCGTGCTGACCGTGGTACCCCGGTTAGCAGCAACCGAAGAATCATAGACTCGGAGCTCCGTAGCAACCAGTTTTGATATTTTCTGTTGGAGTAATAAAAATCGAGCTCAACGTGTGTCGCAACGGACGCAACAGCATGTTTTTTATTTTTCTGTGAAGCTTATCACGTCCTCGTCTTTTTTTCTCGTTCCTCTTATTTTGCTTATCAGCTTATTTTTACACACGGCCTGTTTTATGTTTCTCATAATTGAAGCTTATCATAAGCTTAGGAATCTTGATTAATTATTTGTTGTTGTATTTAGTTGTTAAAGAAGAAAGCTGAAGAAGCAAAACAGCCGAAACGCGCTCCTCCAAAGTCATCGTCTGTGGAGAAAAGCAAGCAATTGAATATACGGGCCGGTCGTTTTTGCCTCGACATTGATGCGTTGTTTGAAGCGGAAGCTGGAACAAGTGTGATTCAACAGCTACAGGTGCAGGTGAGAGAGCACGCGATGGGAAGAAATTTGTTGAGATAATTATTAGAAAAAATGTGATATAATCAAAAAAATGTATGTAGAAATGAGAGAAAAGTATAAGAAAAAAAGAGTTTTTACCAGAATGTAGAAAAATCAAAATCGAACGTATTTGCTCCAGCAAAAAATATGCGTACTTCTGCCCATCACGTCGTTACAACCGTTCCCCTATCTTTGAATAGCTTTTTTGATCGTTTATTCGAAATAATTGTAACAAATGCAGAAAACGCATATTGACGAGGGGCTGTGTGTGTCTGTGTTTGTATGTTCGTCTGCACCGATTTTTCATCTCGAGACCTACAAAAGCCACAGGGCTGAAACTGTGGGAACTTAATCTGCATGCATGTTTGGGGCACCCTTCCCCCAAAATGGGCGCTCACACCCGCGTGGTATCCACGTACTAACCTGCCAAAGTTCTTGGCGGGCAAACTGCTAACTCGGGAACCAGGAACGCTAGAAGGCTGAAATTTTAAGGGGAAGTTCCCCGTCCACGTAAGTCTTGGTGATTTCAAACCCAGCGCCGGGGTACGCCCCGTTCCCACGTGCAGGCCCGTGAAATCTTTTTATGGATAAGTTGCTAACTCGGGAAACTGAGATGCTAGAAGGCTGTAATTTTAAGGGAATGTTTCCTGACAGTCCTGGCAGCCAATCTCAGTTCTTTTAGCTGGAAGGATCTGCCGGAAAAAACAGTGCCGTTTGTGAGAAAAAGCTGCGGAGAACTATGCAAAAAACGTTTCTTCGCACCAACAGTCATTCACATTGAGGCTCATGTGCCACCGGTACATTGGCATTACTGGCTTTTTCACATGTGTTAGTTTCGGCAGTGTTCTCTCCTCATTTATTTTATCCTTTTTACTTTCTTTGTATTTACTAATGTTTGTAGAATTTATGTATTTTTATTGTGGTTTCTAATTGAAGGAACGAAATGCCGAATTCGTGGATGATTTTGACACATCGAAGTGCGATGAATATGCCAGGGAAGATGGTTTCCCCGAAGTTCTGGACCTGTCCAGGTACATTTCTTACATTGTTGTCTTGTTTTATAACGAAAACTTTATTGCTTTTTTTCGTGAATACCATTTACGTGAGGAGAACTAATTTTGAAGGCCATAAGCATCCGAGGAAGATTTCTGTGTTACGTTTTGGTTTTAGAGTAAGGTTTTTGTTGAAGTGGGTGTTACAGGTAAAAATGCTGTACTTGGAAACATTCCAATTTTTATCCTTTCAGATATTTCGCTAACAATGGTGAACTTTTGAAAACATTACCTCCTGATAAAAGAAGCCTGTTCGCTATTGAATTTGATAGACTTCATGGCATCGTTCAGGGTACGCAATTTTCTGTTTTTTTTTTTTTTTTTTTTAATTAAGAAAATTCTGCGGGGATCCAACTCACTGAGGGAAGAAGTGAAGCTGAAATTTTATGCATCGAAAAGCAAAATGATGGAAGGCGCTGTACGTCCGCGGTCGGACTGCAGATAGAAAGTATTAACTTGGAAAAAGCTAAATTGCATCATAGTCCCCAGTCGAAGGTTACACGTCAAGGCGATATGGCTCAGGTCAACTTCTTAGAATTGTCAACGTCCTCAAAATGTCGAATTGGAAGGACTGTGCTTATTTCTTCAGTAGGACTGTGTTGAAGTTAATGACGTACGGATGCGAAACGTGGTCCAGCCACTGT